CCCTCTCCCTCTCCCTCTCCCTCTGCCTCTCCCTCTCCCTTTCCCTCTCCCTCTCCCTCTCCCTCTCCCTCTACGGGCACTACAGCGCGGGCCCGCTCGTAACAAATATGTTCGTACGACACCGCGGCTCAGATTTGGAGACAAACTCAAGTGGAAAAATGCCCTAAGAAATAGAGCATACAGCGTCCGGCGCTACAGTACATACAGTAGATCCGACAGTAGGCCTTTGCTCGGCAGTGATGACAAAGCGATAAAATATAGGGCTTCTGGTGACTGATACCTTCTTTCTCGGGGTGCCCTCTCGCCCTCCACTGGCTATAGCCGTCTTGCTCAGGGTGCATGCCTTTCATCCGCGCGCCAAGAGGGGATTTCGCAACGCCATCAGAACAACCCCCCGCTTCCCAGAGGGTGCATGCCTTTTCATCGGGCGTATTAATTGGGGGTTTCACCCAATCGGCGGAAACACACGCTACTTTTCGTCCATACCTGTTTGCTGTAACGGCTATATACCACCACGTTGTTGCGGGCGTCACCCGTCAGCATCAGTAGACTATGTACTATCGCCACATTCTTCACGACCGTACCTGAATCATCAAACAAAAAATCGAAAACCTCACGCGGTTCGCTGTCAAAACAAACGAAAAACATATAACAGGTACAACGTGGGAACGGACTGCATGGGTGCCGGCGTGAGGCTAGGCGGGTGGGAGGTCGACGGTCATCAGTACGGCGTGGGCAACAGCGTGAGTGATTTTCGTGCTACTGCTGTATTTTTGTTTTTTTTGCCGGTATCGCTGAAGCTGAGGGTAATCAGTGAACGCATAGTGCCCAGACGCAGGGCTACTACATGCTACGCTCTCGGCCGCGTTGCGCGGGTTACGTGCGACGGTGCGTGTCACAAGACATCAATTCTTGATGATGACACGGCTGCTGCTGCTGCTGTGAGTGCTTGACAGCCACATCTTTGTGCGGTCGTTGTTGTTGCCTCCATCGTCGTCGTCGTCGTCGTCGTCGTCGTCGTCGTCGTTGTCGTTGCTGCTGCTCTGGCCGTCGGTTCTGGTGTCGGTGGTGGTAGGCTGGTCGTTGTTGGTGTTTGAACATGCATGTATTCGTATCTCAATGTCCTTCATTTCGTCCATACACCGAGAATGGCATACCTATCGGTCACCAACTCCATCATCAAACGCCTCAAACTCGGTCCCAACTACTGTCGTCTGTGGTGGTGGACCCTGGTGGAACTTGATCATATGCTTATCATGCCATCCAGACCCCAGGCGCTGTCGCCAACACCACCTCTCTCTCTCATACAGCAAAACCACACACCCACAACACCTGACGAGAATGTCGCCCTTTCTCCGGAGGGTTATCTCTGCCCCCCGGCCACAACGAACACAACCCTTGTCATGATACGGGCACATCGCTGTTTCCAGCAACCAACGCGACAGCCACGATAAACCCCCCTCTTTTGTGGACCCAGCCGCCAGCTGCGTCGACAGGGAAAAACCCTTTACTGTCGTTTTTTCCGTTTCCGTGTGGCCTTCTTTAACCCCCGACGACAGGTGCACGGCAACGACTTCAATGCCGTCGGCGAAGGGGCCCTCAAGGTGCTTGTGGGCGAGCAGGGCGACATTTGCGGCAACACCTGCGAGGACGGGTCTTGCTCATTGGTCGGGTGAGTTGTTGTTGTTGTTGTTGTTGGTTGTTGTTGTTGCGAGTGCTGCTGTTCTTGCGAGTGCTGTTGTGCGTTGCTGATGCGAATGGTGCCGTATTTTGTGGTTCTTACCGTCCGCTGCAGCTACGACTGCTGCGGTGTTGCTGGAAAACGTTTTCTGTCGGTTTCTCCCCAAACACCCTCTCTGACAGAACGCGTATGGGATACGACGCACCCACAACTAATTCCGTAGTGACTTTGATATCGGTTGACCCTGTCGAAGCTCCTTGTTGGTGGTTTGCCCGTGCTTCCCGTCGCTGCTGATGTGTGTCGTCAATGACGCACAGGGAGTGCAGTGCACGTTTACAGTGGGGGCTTGTTCGACCCCTATGTAGCGATCAACACCCGTGCTCGGCGTCTCACCGTCTGACCTGAGCCACTCGCCCTTCGCTTCCTACCGGTCCTTTCGTCGCCTCTCACCACACAACAAACGACACCTCCACCGCGTCCAACACCGTCGCCGTCGCACCGATACCACCGCCACAATCACCACCGTCATATCACCACCAACATCAACACCAACACCACCAATGCCACCACCACCATCGTCGACGACGTTTCAACAATAACCACCGCCGGCGTTACAGCGAGGGCCTGTCGGGCATCACGACCTCGTGGGACCAGGCATGCGACGGAATCGTCCCAACCACTACCATTACCTCCTCCCCCCCCTCCTCCTCTAGCTTCAGCACTACAATGACCAGCAGCAGTAGCAGTAGCAGCAGCAGCAGCGGCACCGGAGATGGGTCCGCCTCGAACGAGAGTGATGACGACGACGACGACGACGACGACGGTTCTGGCTTCGTCACACCGCTGTCCGAAGACGATGATGGCGGTGAGGAGGCACAGGACAGCGATGACGACGACTTCCGTGTCTCCGCTGACGCGGATTCCGACGACGACGACAACAACGAAATACATGATGACAACGTCTACTACTACCCCTACAGCGAGGAAGAAGAGGAGCTCGACAGCGACGACGACGACGACGACGACGACGACGACGACGACGACTTCCGCGCTTCCTCCGACTCTGAAGAATGTAGCAGCAGCCGGAGCAGGTCTCGCAGGGGGGAAGACGACGATGAGGAAGCCGCCACCGCTACCACCGACGACGACGACGACTCTGACGACTATGGCGACGACTACGGTGACCAATTCGACAGCGACGACGAGTCGGAGCGGCGCGATCGCCGCCGCTTGAGGGGCGGTGCTGGCCGGGCCTCATAAGCGGGGCTGGGACTCATAGACGGTGGCGGCCGCAGAGGTGCGGTCTTGCCTCGGGTCGTGCAGACGGCGGCAATACAACAACCTCAGTCAACAGGTAGCTCTGGCGGTCGGAGAGTTTCGTGGGCATCGCGAAACCCTCTGCCAACTGAGCCGTGTGGATATTGCTAGAATGAATGAGGCAAGAGCTTGGACCCAGGGCGATTTGCTTTGTCAAGATGGCTCGAGCGATGCGTCGAATTGGGCGCTGCCAATAATCCAACGCAGCCGGGACAAATAAATTGAATCCTGGGGGCAGTGATGGAGCTACAATTAGGAAGCGGGTAGGAGGTGGGGGGGGGCACAACGTGATTTTTTTTCGCATTTGTTTTGCGGGGGACAACAATGTCGCTTTTATAGTTTTTCATTTGCTTTCTGGGGGGGGTGTCCCCGCTACCGAGGTCCACAGTCATGGATAGAGTTTCTTCCGCCACGCTTCGAAAGCGCTCTACACTTTCTCACGCTGTTTGAGTTGTTACCCCTCTGCGACCGTCTAGATTTTGTGATAATTTTTTCCGGTGGTCTCCCATATGGCAACACGTTAGCATATAGAAGAAGGTAAATTTTGAATTTCAGGCTCGACCATCTCGAGATTTCCCTGTTCTAAAAGAGACACGTGTGACACACTTCACCCATGAAATGCGGGAACGCAAGTGCATCGATTTGTTGATTTGCCAGCACATAATAACCTTGGTGCTCGTTGGGTTATGTTGACTATTCGACCGGCAGGGTCCCCGAGAGTTATTGGCTGTGAGTGTCGTCAAGTTACTCCGTGTGTTGAAGTGCGCTTGATGGACCCTTGTTCAGTGGTTAGATGCAGGCCGAGGCTATAGAAATCGTGCTTATGCTTCTGCGAGATCCATGCNAGAAGGGATGCGCGCGTGGGGAGGGTGTTGTACGTTGCTTTTTCGTGGACTGGTTCATGTAGTGTTGTATAACGCCGTAGTTTTACTTGATAAACTCATTGTTCGTCTTGCTCATCAAAGTTGTGTGGGCTGTCGGTTGGTCTTTAATTACGATAGTGTTTTTGTTGGCATGTGTTTGTTCCGTGCCAAGGCGGCCGGATTTATTTGTGATCGTTGTGTTGAGGACGTTTGGCTGTCGTGGTAAGATCGTGTGAGGTTTGACGTGTGGGGTTATCAACTCTCGGTCGTCAAATATCTCGAGCATCGTTCTACTACAGTGAGCTTTGCGCTCGCACGCAGGCGCCCAGCGTGCAGTCGTGGTGTCTATACTTCCTTACCCTGTTTTCACTCGGGTGTCGTGTGGGTGTGTTGTGTTGAGAGGGAAATGGGTACTTCGGACGGTCACGGTTTCACTCATGAGCGGAAAAGCAGAAACCCTGCTACTACTACTGCATGCAGTTTCACATGCATACATTGTAGATGTGGAAGGAAACCATTTGCCCCTAAAGTGGTAGTTTTCCTGGACCCGCCCACAGGCGACTTGATAAATTTCTCTCTAGGGCCTGGTTATTTACCCAACAAAATATA